ATTATTGGAATGTTCAGATTACTGGATTATAGTGAAAGAATTAATGTAAATTTTATTATTCAAATCTAATGTCTTGTGTTTGTAAATTATTGTCAGGGTGGCGGATTATTGGAATTATACTGTGCTATCTTGTGAAGTGCCGGATTAGTGAGATTTTATTGTATTTAAATTTCAACTTATTAAGTCACTAACTGCCATATTGACGGATGTTAAAGGTCTCCCCTAATGACCAATTAACATCGCTGATTTAAGGCAGTAGCTTTTATAACTTAATTAAAAATGTGTTAAAGCTATGTAATGCGTCAATAATAAAAAAATCATTGAAATTATTAATGATATTACTGTAGTAAATATTTTTTTATTAAATTATTTAAAATACTATTCTGCATCTTTAATTGCCATTCTTTTCTAATATTCTTAAATTCCAATGAAACAAATACATGTGTCATATCATTTAATACCCTAAATTACTAATATCTACCACCTCGTCTTCTATCTCCTTCGTGTCTATCTCTGTCTCGTCTTTCTTTTTCCCTCTCCCTTTCGCGCTCTCGTAAACGGTCTCTCTCTTTTTCCCTTTCTCGTTCTCTCTCCTTCTCCCTTTCTCGTTCTCTCTCCTTTTCCCTTTCTTTTTCCCGCTCCTTCTCCCTTTCTCTCTCTTTTTCTCGTTCCCGTCTACGATCGCGATCTCTGCTTCTTGATCGCTCACGTTTACGATCTTTGTCCCTTCTGTCACGATCCCTTGATCTGCAATGATACAAAAAAATAAATCATTATAAGGTATAGAAGATGTTGTACTTGAATATTGTTAGCATGTTAATGTACTAAAAAAATATGAAAAGCTCTTAGTAATCTAATCATCAAAATAAAAAGGTATTCCAGTATGCTAATGCAGCTACTATATCTGATACACATTTTCATTTTTCAACAACACAACTCACACTCATAGCCCAGAGGAATAGACAGAGACCATAGACTTCCAATTTAATATTGTAAGGAAGAAAATCCAACACTGTGCTGGTGTACTGGCACAACACTAGCCTTACTAAAATGTCGACGTTTATGTCCCCTCACTAATCATTCTGACACTTGAATTTGTAATGAAAGCGCGCCAATTGCATCAAAGGACTTTAACGAATATGGTCTAAAAATCAATCATCATCTCAGAGAATCATCTGTGAAACTGCCCCCTCCCTAGATGTACTACTTATCTATCTTCCTACTTATCTTTCTAATATTATAAATGTGAATGTTTAGATAGATGGATGTTTATTTGAAGGTATCTTCCGAAGGGCTAAACAGATCTCATTGAAATTTTGCATAGACTTAGAACATAGTCTGGAAGAACACATAGCCTATATATTAACTTTTTATAATTCTGCGCGGACAGAGTCACAGGCGACAGCTAGTACACTTATAAAATTACCCTTGTGACATGGTTATGCATAGAATATATTAGAATAAGTTTTTTAAGTTAAGACCATAAAGTAAGAACAGGTATGAAGAAAACAAGGATCATCATTTACCTGTCTCTGCGCCTGTCTTTATCCCGTCTATCCTTCTCCCTTTTGTTTTCTTTGGCTTCTGTATCAATATTTTCATCCTCTGATGGCATATCTTCATCAAGATCATCATCCAGCGCAGATACTTTAGGGTCCAATTCGTTATTCTCTTCCAGTATATGTCTTTTCTGTATCCTCGGCAAAATAACATCACATAACCGTTCTTCTCTTAGTAATTCATCGATAAACTCATCCATATGAACTATCTCGAACTGTCCCTGACGATTTTGACGCCTCAGTTTTCTGTTATCATTATAAAGTGGCTCTAAATACTTGTAACAATCAACAGAGGTTCCTGTGAGTCTCATATAGAATGCACCTAACGCACGCACATATTTAAACTCTTCGTTTTTAATAAATTCAACTACGATATCTTTTTCAGGTTGTATCTGTAACATTTTTAAAACTAAACACAAAAAAGGAGTTGGATAAATGAAGCCACCGTGCACACCACCAATATATCGTAGTGCCATCGCCTTGTCGACAAGTAACTCCGCAGTTAACGCAAAACATTCTTCCTTCCAATATTTACAATCGTATATGCGCGACCTTATTATCTTTTCCACAAGATATTGAGGGTTTGTTCCACGAATTGATTTTGCATCTTTTACTGTCCGGTTCGCCATTTTGGCGGCGGCATGAGCCCCACTTGTCAATCAACTGACTTTAATTTGACAATCGACGTAGTGTTGCTATATTCGAAGTACGAATTTAGTAAAATAACCTACTATTTAATTGAAAAACTCAACAGCTAAGCAGGGATGTTACAAACGCCGGTTTGAATGTTTGTGCGTTATTGTTATTATCATATTTAACTACTAAACTATAAAACATATTTTGCCACCATCATGTCAAATAAATATTATCGCCGAAAAATCTTGCACAATCAATGTTCTTTTTTGATGAAACCACCATTTTTATGCCAAAGTTTGTACTTTTATTATTTTATTTAACCATCAATGAAAATGTCATTTTTTAAGGAACCTTTTATTCAAATGTGCAATTGAAATTGCTTTGCAATACAAATTGAAAGCAACATGTCAAATTATAATAATATATCTTACCCTAAAGTTTTTAAATAAATCACATTTCTATTATAAATGAGTATATATGAAATCCTAACAACCAAAACTCAACAACGAAGAATAAATTATTTGTGCATCTTGTACGCGTAAATGACTCCAATAACCACTAATAAGAGTGCAGATGCCTTGTAGAACATATTACATAGTACTCTGTTCTGACCTCCAATAGAGTTTACTATCAAATTGTTCATTAGGAACACTTGGTTGCTTTCTTCTATGAATGCATCCTGTTCATCCTTGGACATTCGTTCAGCAATCTCATTCATTGCATTACGGAATTCCTTTTTTAGTTCATTTATGTCTATATCATTGAAATCAGTCACTTTGTCTGCATAGACATTCTCGGATGTGTTCTCTGAAAAGATTTATAGAAATGTATACTTCCGCATTGTGCACTTTGGTTTCCTTTACCTTCTTTTATATGACCTTTTCTACCTAAATTCTATAGCATGAGGGGACAAACAAGTAATGGATCACCTAATGCTAAATAATCCGACAACCATAGACATCCAGAACACAAGAGGAGGCAGAGATGTGTTGCCAGTCTGAAATATTTATAGGTAGTAGTAGATGTCACATACCATTGAACTGAATGTTTATTCATCCTACAAATAGTGTTATAGCTAGTTATTTACTCATAATAATACTTTACTTTCACCAAACATTTTCCTCTTCTTTGCCAGTATCTGGCCACCACTTAACAATCCCAGGTACAGATGATACACATATGCCAATAGCATCATTGGATGTTCAGTCTCAAGGTCCTGCAAATGCTCGATGTAATTCTCTAGAGCAGCAGACTTTGGTGTCAATTGCCAGTTTTCACCTAAATAATGAGCTAGATCCTCTTCAAATGCTTTCTTTCTAAAATTATACAATAAACATTAATGATTTATAAAAAAAATTAACAATACTTAGAACATATAATTATTGCATGTTCAAATAAGAACTGTAAATAAATCTTAAGGTGTGATGACTATAGCATAAAATAGAGAAATAGTAGCTATTTAACTAATTTTAAAAGATTTTTTTAATTGTAGTCAAACAACATACCTGTATAAAATTTTATTAACAAATAGTTTATTAAAGTCAGTCATGTTAAGTCTGTCTTTGGCATCTTCAAGGAATGCAAAGATGTGGTAGAATACAAACAAGCCACCACCCCATACTGCTTCATCTCGTAAAGCTGTTGTAATATGCAAAGTTTATTAATAGCAGAATATATGTAAATTATAGTTATTACAGAACAGATATTATAGAAAGTTCGTTTATAATAAATCGGTCACTAAAGATGAACAGTATTCTTTATTATATATATACACTGCACAGCACAAAAGTGTTTCTTTTGTTATTTACGCACAATATGACTTTGCACTTTATATTACATTCTATAGCACTTTCTTAAATATTTTAATGTAGAATTAATAATGAACGATACCAATGACAATTTCACACATTAAGTAATTAAATACATTGAAAAATATTGCTACTTGATGAATGGAATTGTTATAATTTGTTTACAATTTAAAAACTTACACAAAGCAAATTTAGCATTGACTAACGTATCGCTCACTGAATGAATCCTCCGCGTTGCTTTTCTCATGCGAGTAGTAAATAGGTCATAATTTTCAGACATTTTCCTAAACTATAATGTACTCTTCCAGCAGCAAGTGCCCGCAATTGCACATCCACAAGAACAAGAAATTGAAGAAAATATTGAATTTGAAAATTTTACTTCAAAATTTGACACCTGTCATTGTTACAGTTGTGATGAATTAACAAACCAAAACCAAGAAGACAATGATTTTTCCTTTACAATTTGCCGGCTGAGGCAATCTACCTGTTTATAATTTTATGGCCCGTGTTACTTAAAACTGTTTTCATTGTAAGGTTTTAATAATGTTTTATCCAACTTTACTCACAATAATAATTTCTACTGGAACACTGACATTTATTATCTGTTACTATTACATCTAAAACTTGTCAAAAAACCTTGACAACTGAGTATAAATAATCTGTACAATACCGGAACTTTTTATTTAATAACAATTTGTAAAAATACATTATATCTTCGTCAAACCAGTTTAATTTTATGTGAATAATTCAATTACAGTTTTCTGAATCTATTATTTATTAACTTTTATTTAATACAGAATGGAGAACTCGAAGAAAATTAAGGTAAATGATTTCACACTTCTATTATCAAATTTACAATAATTAATTGGTAAGTAACAGATACTACAAATATATGGCAAATATAATGTTAGTTTAACATACTATTTTCTAAATTTAGTTATTTTTAAAGTTATATCTTATCAATTTATCTTATAAGTCGTTCATTTGACATGTTTACAAATTGATACGCGTTATCGTTTTGACATTTTCGTAATGTTATCTAATTGTTTCTAACCTCTGCAACCTATGACAAAATTTCCAAATTCTAAATCCAACAATGGCTTATGACCTACAAAAAGAGGAAGATGTTAAGCAATACATTGAAAATTTAGGGATTGAATATAGATTCGGCTGTTATCATGAAAAGAAATCGGAAGTTTGTCATCTTTTGGCTGATTACTTAGAAGCAATAAAAAAGGATTATAAAAAAGCTGCTACCGTTTATAAAACCAACTGTATGGACTATAAGTATGGTAAATCGTGTACTAAGTATGGGAATTATGCACTTATCGGTCGCGGAAAAGACAAACCTGATTCGAAAGAAGCTTTGGAATATTTCGAAAAAGGTTGTGAATTCAATGATCCTACGTCATGTCTACATGCTGGGGTGCTTCTTACTGCTACTGGACCCGGAGTTACTGTTCAAAGGGATGTTCCCAAAGGTAAACATCAAACATAACCTAATTTTACGATATTATTGTTATATTGTAAAAAAAACATATTCCAATATTTTACATCCTGGTTACAGTATAATTTTATATCATAATGTTATCTAATCCTACTACATGACCTTGTGTGATAACCTATGACAAAATTGTGAAACTATATAAGTTAAATTTTTTAAGTGTTTACTTCAAGATTTTTAAAATGTCACTAATTCATTATCTTTGACTCTTACTTTTGTAAATTTTATATTTGATATGATTTTTTTAAGGTTACAATTATTTGAAGAAAAGCTGCGATGCCAGAGATGATATGGCATGTCATTACCTGTCAGGAATGTATCTTACTGGAGTACCGAAAAATGTAGCCGATTTCAATCCACACAACCCGGAGAAAAATAAAAATATTGATTATTTAATAAAGCCTGATCTAAAACAAGCATTTGATCTTGCAATGAAAGGTTGCGAATATGGTAATATATTTGCATGTGCTAATGTCAGTTTGATGTACAAAAAAGGTGATGGAGTGGAACAGGATTTGGAGAAATCAAAGAAATTCTTTCAATTGGCTCAAAGTTTAAAGAATGCTCATGAGACAACCAAAGAAATCAAGTTCCAACAAGGTTTGGAGGACAAGCAGTAGATTTGGACTAGAAAAGCAAATGTTTGCATTTAAGTTGGTGTTGAGTTGTAATAGTCATCACAATTTAGTAGCTACCGGTGAATTATAATTGTGAATTTCAACCAACAAATTGCATTTACAAAAATCAATATTTAATTTACATATTGTTGATTCTTTGGATTATATAAGTTGTTTATTTTTTCTTAATAGTTTTCAATGAAATATTAATACTCTTAGTTGTTTGAGCGATACACATTGTGATGACTTTACTGTATAGTAGTTGACTGTTCAAAAATAGAATACAAGCGTTGAAAAATAGTAAGACTTTTTATTTCCCTTGTCCTTTTTTCCTTTACTTAACCAAAGCTAATGGTTTTTAAAACCATTATAAACAAACTGGACAGTTGGACAGTTTACATTTTTCCAGTCCTTTGATCAAATTCAGCCCTTGAATTAAAACATTTCTAATGTAAACTGGGCATATTATTAACTGTGTTTGAAAACTAAATACAGATTGGAATCATCGGTGGATCAGGCTTCGACGATCCCAATTTGTTCGAAAACCCTGTAGAACTGGATCTGAGTACACCGTTCGGGAAGCCTTCAGATGTGCTACTGAGTGGACAAATAGATGGTGTGCCATGTGTACTGTTGGCAAGACACGGAAGGAAACATCAGTATCAGCCTAGGTAAAGTTCGAACTTCTAATCCTAATAAAAATCTAGAAAAAAGTGACAATGTGAACAACTAGAAATAGATCATCGGTCAATCTTACTAATATTATAAAAGCGAAAGTTTAGACGGATGGATGTTTGTTAGAAGGTATCTCCACAATGGATCTTGATGAAATTTGACACAAATCAAGACCATATTTCGGAAGATCTCATAAGCTACTTAGTGAGTTTGTTTTTAATATCGCACGGGCGTCAGCTAGTGCTCTATAGGACCATATTACTCCTTTCGAGTTTATTGGTGCAACAGATTACACTTGCTACTTTTTTTTTAATAATTTGAGCATAATCTTTGTGTAGTTCTTTGTATTATTTTCTAGTGATGTAAACTACCGCGCAAATATCTGGGCACTAAAACAGGCCGGCTGTACACATGTCCTGGCCACTACAGCCACCGGCTCACTGGTTGAGGACTACCAGCCCGGGGACCTGGTTATACTGGACGACTTCATTGATCGGTATGCTAACAATTATAAATGTGTTTTAGATAAAATGAATTGAATAAGAAAATTAAATAATTGTTGGTGTGACCATAAACAATATCTAATTAATCACATATTTCGGATCGCTATCATGCACTAGCAAAAGCCACAGGGCTTTTCACTGCTACAAAACATATACAGAAACATATTGTTATCTCTATTTTTATCAAAGAAAATGAGAGGGACGACTATGTTTTTGTCCGAGCAACAATAAAAATTAAGAACTTCCTTGCACATTTTGTACCGGAAGGGATCATCATTCTTTGTGTCAAACAATTAGTTTTCACTGTCATTACTTATTTATTGTATTTATCTGTCTTCAAAGATATGTTTTTGCACATATCTTCAGTGGAACCCCATTATTAGTATTATTTTTCAGTACTTGGGGTAGGAAGTGCACATTTTACGACCGCACGGAGGGCGGGCCTAGGGGTGTGTGTCACCTGCCCATGCACCCCGCGTTCTGTGAGCGCTCTCGCCGCGCACTTCAAGACGCAGCCCGGCTGAGAGGATACAAGTATCATGAAAATGGTACTGCCGTTGTTATACAAGGACCGAGGTAACTATGGGTTTTCACTGTCGAAACATGTGTATCAAAACAGTTTTTTTTAATTAGATGACAATATGCTTTTCACAATCCGTACCAAGAAATCATATTGATAGATTTTTTTTTCTTAAGATTTTTTTTTAGTTTTGTGTAGAATAATTATTTCCGTTGAATAACTTATAAGGACAGGCTTTCACAGACTAATCAATATACTGAGCCAAAAAGTCGCGTGAAAGGTGATCAAGGAATCGTTTTAGGGTTAATGGCTCCATTATGGGGTGGCGGACCTCACCCTTTATTAATCCTAATTAATTGAAACCGTTTTAGGTTTTCAAGTCGCGCAGAAAGCCTCATGCATAGACAATGGGGCGGCCATCTTGTCAACATGACAACTGTCCCTGAGGTATTATATATTAAACTTTATAAATATATGTACATAACAAGTTTATCATACTAACATAATTATGTTTCAGGTGAATTTAGCGAAGGAGGCAGGTCTGAGTTACGCGGCTGTGGCTCTTGTCACTGACTATGACTGCTGGAGGAAGGACGAGAAATCTGTAAGTTGTAACAACTGTCATCAAGTTTAAATAACACAATTACTGTTCAAAAACTAATACTTGTATAATATGGTTTAAATAAGACAGTGAAAAAACTGGAACTTGTTGCAATAGAAATTACATACATACAAAAACTTACATATATGCGTCCGGGGGACTTAATTTAGTCCTCTTTCCCTTCCCACTCTTTTCTTATAAAGAATGGATGGGAAGGGGACACTTCCCCTTTGGGATTTGACGGAGTGCAAGGAAAAAATACCCTTTAAGTTCTCCTCATCCATCGATTAAATTGGGAATGTATAGACATGCCTATAGGGTCAGCGGTCGTTTCGCTATTTTGGCGAATTTAAGAGGCCGAATGCTGAAAAAAAAACAACTATATGCACGGAAAATTTCCAGTCAGATAGTACAGAGTAATATAACATAGGTGTCGGTGAGTGAAGTACTGGCGATGTTCGCTAAGAACGTGAAGAAAGCGGCTGACGTCATACTGGATGCTGTGCAGATCCTCGCCGCTGACACTGATCTAGAATATTTGGATGCACACGAGGTATAAAGTAACATAATTTAATGTAATGAAAATTAAAAATCTTATTTAATTAAAATGTTACATTTTGTTGATTGTTCCGATCAACTTCCATATTTTTTATCCTTCATAAGAACATTGTGACAGTAACAAACAAAAAGAAAGAATTGACGAAAGTGTTTATATCTATAGATTAATCGTCCTTGACATTTTGAGATCCATTAACTTTGGATTGATACGTTATAATATTTCTGTTCCAGAATATGGTGTCATCTGCAATCATGTTGAAGGAGTAGAAGTACAAAGTTAAACTAACTTCAACTGTCGTAACACAAGAACATATTACTATCTCTGTCTTTCTCCAAGAGAGCGAGGGAGATGCCAATACTGCGTACTGTTATCTCTGTCTTTTCAACGAGAGTGAGAGAGATGGCAATACCAGGTTGCAACAGTAGAAACTCGCTGTAACGTATAAGTGTAAATTTTGTTATATCATGTTATTAAAATCATTAAAAACATTTTATTCAATAGATTATTTTATTATCAATCTTACATAAGAAATATAAAATGAAATTACACTATCATATTTAAAACTGTCACACGATTTCATTCCGACATATTAATTACCTCTTAATCTAAACATTTTTTACGTATTTTATTGTTGTGCAATATTTATGACGAATTATTATTAAACATACAAAATGTTCTAGCAATTTCTATTACATTATAGCAAAAAACAGACAGAAATTCAATATAAAAAAATATCGTCATCCTTGGTTTCCCCCTTCAAAAAACTGAAATAGCAATATTTTCGATGGATTCGTAATCAGTGGAAATATACTACTATAATAAATGTAACACAATCACTGTATATGATAAAAATCAATATGGCTGACCCACATCAATTTTTTTTTAATTTAATTCTTGTTTACGTATTTTCCTATGAATATAATTGTTAGAACATAATGTATAAAGTTTCAAACTTTTATTAACTAAGTTTATCTATCTAGCTTATTACTTTAAACTCATAATACCTTAACATAATTACTAAGTTCCTTCCTTCGTTTTCTCTCATCTGTAAATAAAATATTGTAACATAGAGGCGTGGACTAATTTAGAAATTACGAGGAATTAAAAAAAAGTAGGAGTAGCCTATAACATGCCCGAGTACATCAGTAGACATACAGACAAACAAAATTGAATTTTCGTTATCAGTAACGCAAATACATCATATGTTGTACACATTATAATATGATTTTTTTATAAGACACTATAATTTTAGTTATATGTATAGATATACTAGCTATTGCTCGCAACTCTGTCCGCAGAGAATTAAGAAATAGTAGCCTATGTAATCTATGGCAAATTTCATCGATATGCGCTGAGCCGCTTTGAGGATACCTTCTGACAAAACATCCATCCATACATCCCAACTACATTTTACTAATATTATAAATGTGAATGTATAGATGGATGGATAAATGTTTGTTTGAAGGTAAGGTTGAACGGATTTTGATAAAATTTGGCATACATGTAGAACATAGTTTGAAAGAACTAATAGGCTATGTCTTTATTGTTTTTTTTTTTAATTTTTTTAAGATCAGATGAACATCTTTACCGGTGCGTTTTAATTCTTAGTCCAGGGGTTACGTCCATGTTGTCCAGGTATCATGTCGAGCAGGTACTGGCGCTGCGCCTCCGCCACGCGCTGCATCTCCGCCACCGCCGCCGCGCCCCCCGCCCCGCCCACACCGCCCACTCCCCCCGCACCGCCGCCCTTACCCGCTGCACACACACACAGTCACCAGACATTTTATTATTATTATTTACTGTTGCTTTCTGAGATCAAAAACTCTATATAACATATAATCATTGTTTAGTCATATTTTGGTCTCAGAAACCCACAATTCAGTGATACAAAGATCATAATAGCTATTGAAAATACTGATATGTATTGTTTAGAAAATCAAATTTTTGTACTTATTACAATTAGAATAATCTGTAGATTAAAGTCAATTGAATATTATTCATATCGATATTTTTATAAAAAGTGAATTACACATGCAAAATATATTTATAAAATAAAAAAAAACTAGTTTAAAATTGTTTAGGACACTCTGTAGAGTGACTGACATTTAAATTAAGATGGCGGTGAAAGACATGTTTTTATTTTAATGAATGATAGGATTATACATTGAGCAATACAAACTCAATAATCAATCTCGATCTAGTTTATTTAAAATCTATCTGACAAATATGTTCAAGAACCTGATCGATCAGTTAAGTTTCATTCAAACATTATCCGGAATCATATAACCAAAGCTCGGTAGTCGCGTTAGAGCGAGACAAACATATGGGAATAGATGAGAACGCTATACAGCTTATGACGTCATCGCCGGACTGTGTACGACTCCGGATTATATCTAAATGAATTTTTAGGTGCGATCAATAATATAAATCTGTTTATCTAATTTTGGATCGATTATTAGTTTGTTATTATATAGGTAAATGGTATGTATATAATGGTATGTTTGGTGAATACGTACTGCGCTTACCTAGCGCGGAGGCCTGCGCCATGGCCAGCTGGTACGTGTACAGCAGCGGGGAGAACTGCATCATGGCCGCCGCCGCCGCCGCTGACATGCCGCCGCCGCCCGCCGCGCCGCTCAGACCTACATACACACAAATAATATATTGAATTTTATATCGAGCCGCAAGATGTCGCCTGCGACTCTGTCCAAGCGTAATTTAAAAAAAAGTGAATTAGTTGCCTTATGTGTTATTCCAGACTTTGTTCCATGTCTTTGCAAAATTTTATAGAGAATGTTTCTCTATAAAATTATAATATTAGTAAGATTGAGATTTAAGGCATATTGGTATTTCAAAGTAAACTTTCTACTCTAGGGAGTCAGCAGCAATCCATGCATCCACCCATCTACTTCAAAACGAATACTTTTCCATGTATAATATTAGTAAGAAGTAGGATGAAAGATACGTTACCTCTTAGCAGCTGATGTTGCAGCGCCTGCATAGCTGCAGCGCTGTGTTGCTCGAACGCCATCTGCGCAGCCGCCGCCGCCGCAAGCTGCTGATACATATATATAAATTTATTATCCATACATTCATTTTATATCTATGTTTAATTTAGGTAGACTAGTGCTAATTTTATAGTAGAATAATTCTACGAAAAGAAAAACAAATATTTACCTGATGCTGTTTACTAGAACTGCTTCCCTGGCTGGCTGTGCTCGAAGATGATCCTTGAACATGCGGTATTATTAAAGTCTTATAAATCAGGAAATTTCAATCATTTTCGTCATATTTTATTATTTTAGAGAAATAAAAAATAAATAAAAAGTGATACAAGCCGTGTTACCTTTACCTTTCTTGGCGGGCACGTCTTGTTCACGCGTGCGCTCAGAGTGATGGCGTGGCATCGTTTCCGAAGAGCTTGCCGACCGGCTGCTAAAAGGTTAATAATTACAATTTTCTTGTACACAATAACTAATATAAACCGAATATTTTAAATTTTTTAAGGGATTGTGCAGATTGACGTCAGATCAACTGATGTGCACAAAACATCTATAGTCTACTAAAGATCTTGTGACACTTTTTTGACTTCGTCAGAAAGGCGCTAGTGAGTTGTCATAATTTTATTTGACCGAGTCAATCAGTTATCAATGTATACCTGTTGGAGGGCTGCGGCTGTTTGGCGGTGGACTGCTGCGCGGGCGCAGCGGACGCAGCTGGCGCCGGCGTGCGTGACGAAGACCGCGACACTGACATCTGTCACAAATTATTTACTTTACAAGCTAATTTAACTTTGAGAAGATTACAGTCGCCAAAATCCGTGGTGTTCAAGTTATAGAAACTCTGCCTTGTTTTTGTAATAAGACAAACGGCCATACAAATAACCCTATTAGGTAGCAGTAAATATGACAGGATAAAAAACCTATAGCCGTGTACTGATATTTTTTCGTACAGACATTTAAATGCGCCTATTGGTTACTACATCGCATCGTCTCACGTTCAAACAACTGTAGCTTATAAAGTGGAACACCGGCATAGCGTCAGTTTTTCTTCCTAACATTAAGTACCTGTGGGGTGCGGTGCGAGGAGTGCGACGAGTGTGAGGAGTGCGCTGCGTGCGTGTTGTGCGCGTGCGCATGCGCAGGTGCGGGGGCGTGCGCGGGTGGAGGCGCGGGCGGCGGGGAAGCGGCGGGTGCGGCGAGGCGTCGCTCGATCTCCTGTTCCTGCTGCAGCGCGCGCACGAACGCAGTCTTCAGGCGCGCCGTGTGCTCCGCCTATGCAATAATAAATACAATTTCATAATTAGTAACAAAAAAAAGAAAGAGGATTTTACATAGAATGCCTTTTTGTAATAGATAATGTAGTTCAAGATATCTGTTTAATATATTGTACTATAAAATCTCATTTAAGACCATTAACATAATTCGTAATTGTCGTTCCGTTCAGGAAAAAACAAAAATATTCACCATCAACTTATTCATTAGAAGTCAAAAAGACAAGAAGTCACAGAAAGCCCTACATACTAAAAGAAATAACAAAATACTGAACGTTAACAGAAAATTCGAGCATTTCTAAGCCATCAATCATTATTGTCATGTGCAATTAATATAACAAGAATATATTAGATTGGAAAGTGTACGTACCTTGAGAGCACGTTTAACATTGCCAGAGACGCAGAGCTCGCACAGTCTGCGTGCTGCAGGTGCGCAGCTGAAGGTAGGATCCTGTCTGCGCGCTGCGGGTGCGGGCGCGCGCTCCCAGCGCCATACTGCAGTGAAGTCACAACCGCACTGCGCGCATACTGCTGGCACACTTGAACGTGGCATACTGGAAATAAATTTTGATTAGATTAAATAATTATAATTAGTAGCCTATGTGTTCTTTCAGACTATGTTCTACATCTGTGGAGTTTATCAACTGTTGAGTTGTTCCGGAGATACCTTCAAACAAACATCCATCCAGACATTCGCATTTATAATATTAGTATGACATACAATACTATTAAAAAATGAATTTCAATTGGATGCTATATAAAGAATAAAATATAATTTAGATTAATTTGAAATCTAGCTGTCGTCCAGCCGTTCCTGAGATTACCCGGTACAAACGAGGCCTTGCGGACAGACAGATAGAATATTTTTTTTAATTAACCTACCCAATTACATCTTATATAGAGTACAATATTTTTTAGATTTTTCGTTTTGTTTTTTTTTAATTAAATAAACAATGGAGACGATAATCAACACGTCACTAATATACTAAGAGGTCTCATTACATTTTAACCCTTTGACCGCCACGAGGTAGTTTACTGACCGTTCCTCGTTGGTAAGATAGTCGACGACGTGCTCGAGGCCGACGAGGTACACAAAGTCAGTGTTGCTAGGCGACGGGATGAAGTTCATCTCCGGCGGCGGAGGCTTAGGCGGCGGGATCTGTACAACAAATGTTATTTTTCCTCACTCTTATAAAATTAACATTAACCTTTTCATCTTAATTCATAATTTTATTATATGACAAAATATTAATGGCTCCTACGTTGACTATTGTAAGTATTATAAATTAACTTGACACTAAATTCTGTGTAAGTCGGAAAGTAACGTCAGATTTATCGTGAGGTTTCGTAAGTATTCAAAATGTATATATTTAGTTGTAATAAAGCATGGCTCATATGAGAAATGATTTTAAAGTAAGATTATCAACCTGTAGTAATGTCTTCTCGAGTTGTTTGCGGAGCGCAAGTTTAGCTGCGGCCTGGCGCTGTGCCGGGGTCTGCGTGTCATCGGAACTGCGCGAACTAGCCTACAAAAAATATATAAGAGTAAACAAAAAATAAATTGTTAAAAAAACTTTGACTATGATGTAAAAATAAGGTAAAATATTTAAATTTATATAGTTTTTAAATCGTTGGTCACTTCTTCAAAAACTGCCGTGCATAGACTTATTATAGTATAGGTGACAAGGCCAAAGGTAATTTCTTGTCATTTTTTTTAAATAATAATCTAAAAAAAAACTATTTTTTGCCTTTTTTGAGTGAAATAGTCCACAGATTACTTTGAATATAAAATACATATTTTTTTTGTATAATCAGTGGTATTTATAATACAAGGCAGTTTTCTCCCAATTGAGATATGTTTCTGTATGGATGTTTCGACAATGTAAACACAAAAGTGGTAGAGAAAATGACATCACTTCTCCATACTCACTGCATCACTTGTGCTACTGGTGACTGAGGAATTGTCCTGAGCGGGCTTGTAATCAAATTTTAATACTTATATATCATATTAATTAATTTTATATATATATACCCAGTACTTAACATATTTAATTTAAATGAAATCGAATTACACTAGATTTTTTTGAGGTGATTATGAGATGGGATACCTTTGGTTGTGCATGTTGTGTGGCTGGCGGCGGCGCGGGTGTTATAGTGACTGATGGGGTGATACTAGCGCCACCACTCGATGCATTCTGTAACAAAAAAAGGTGGGTTTTTGATACCATAATCTTCAATTAAAATATATTATTATCTATGTGTTGTCAAAGGTAATTACAGTAATAACTATAGTCAGACAGACATAAAGCTAGGAGACAAAATCTTATTTATAAATGCAAATGTTTAGATGGATGGATGGATAAATGTATGTTAGAAGATATCTCCAGAACAGCTGCATGGATATCGCTTAAATTTGACATAGATGCAGAACATAGCCTGGAAGAACACATAGGCTTTAAGTTTTTTTTTTAATTCCGCGCGAACGGAGTCGCGGTTGAAAGCTAGTATGCTTTAACACTTATTTCTTAGTGGTCCAAATGTTTGTGTATACCTGGGTGCGATATATTCCCGGTGTGAGTGTAGCTCCGCCTGGCAGACTGGAAGGACGACGAGTGCTTGAAGATAGGTTGTTGCCCGCCGCTGCGCTTGTGCTCGATCGCTGCAAATGTACAAAGATTTTAATACAACATACTTTTTATAAATACAAATATAAATATTTATAATCTAAATAATATACAGAGCTTATGATATAAAAATTGAACAGTTATGTGTAACTAGCTGACGCCTGCGACTCTGTCCCTGCGTAATACAGTAGTAGCCTTTGTCTTCTTCATCTATGCCAAATTTCAACAATGTCGATGCAGCCGACTTGGAGATACCTTCTAATAAGCATCCATCCACCCATCCATTCATCCGTACGTCCAAACATTCGCATTCATAATATCAGTAATACACCTGCATAGGAAAAACGGTTATGTAAAATGTTACGTATGTTGAAAGGGTAGTGAATTAATTTCTCAGACTATACCTTGTTCTGTTGATGTGCTGGGGGCGGGGCGGGGGTTACAGTGACGCCGGGCGGCACCACGCACCCGCTGCCTGCGAGCGCGGTGCCAGTTGTCGTGTCCTGTAACATACATACTCTAATATTAACACCTATTCAATATGAGCGAGGATTTCATTTTCACTTATGTATTTCTATTTTATTCAATTTCTTAAAAAAAATAGTTTTTCGTAATAAGTCTGAGTTCGGTGTGAAATGCCTGTAAGAAAATGTATAATAGTCCTTCTTTCGAATACCATTGTGCACCCTGCTGAATTTATTTCGACATTAGCTGTCCCTCGCGACTCCGTTCACGCGGAATTAAAAACAAAACCTTAATTAGTAGTCTATTACTTACAAACAACCATCCATATCCATACATCCAAACATCGGCATTTATAGTATTAGTAAATAAATAGATAAAAGTACCTTAACGGGCGGTATCCCAGTGCTCTGCTGCGACTGGCGCAGTTTCCTCAACAGCACGAGCCGTGTCTCCTCCGAGCGTAGCTTCTCTCTGAGAGCTCGCAGACGTCTCTCTCGCTCCCATATCTCTGCACTTGATAGTTCCTGTAAATCAAATTATATCTTATTACAATGTATAATCAAATTATATTGTCTTAAATACTTGATTTTGTCGAAATAACAAAGCCACTGCTGCTCATAGTAATTGCAGATGCGTTGCCAACCTATAGAATCAACAGAGGACGGGACACACAGAAAGAGGATATTTCTCTTTCCTATGCGTCCCATTCTCCGCCAAATTCACTTCCCCTTCTCATCTTGTCTCTTATAAGAAAAAGGTGGATATGGAAAGAGGACAAAAATAAGTTCTCCGGAATACAAATTAATCAGACTATAGTTGCCACTTGAGGCATGTATGTGTGGTTATGGTATTTCACTGGATCAAGACCAACAAATAAATCGTGCAGCAAATATTGTTATTGCATGCTGTATCACTGTAAACCTATCTTTATCAATATAATAGCAAATGTGTACAAACTCACTGTATGTCCAGCAATGGGCAGCGGAGGATCATTCTCATCATCCTCCGAGTCCTCATCATCTCGTGGCTCACGCGGCGACTCCGGTGCGGCGACGGGTACGCTCGGCGTTATTGACACGTTCACACTCGAGTTCAACTTGCTGCTAACATCTGGAAATCATTTTGTCTTGATGTAATTCTAATACCAAACATAAGCCACTTTTAAGCTTTTAACTTGCCAGGCAAGTTCGCTTTCGTACATAAACTAACCTAGTTAAGTCTAATTCTAATTTTTGTGGTAGATTTACAACAATTTTGGAGTTGAATCTTAACACTAACTATTAAGTCAACTTAAGACTTATTTTATATATTAAATAGGACCAACTCTTAGAATAGAGACCAAATGTAACTCATCAGTGTAACACAACTCTAAACTGTTAAATTAGAGTAAGGATGTTAAGTTTTAACAGTGGTAGAGCCCGCTTTAACATCTTCACACGATTTGGCCCGGCTCGCCCGCGAAATACCACGACCACACAGAAGACAGGCGTGAAGTGGAAGCAATTCCGCGTTTCGTCTGATGAGTGTGCGTCCCGGAGGCCTAATTTAGTCCTCTTTCCCTTCCCACCTTTTTCTTATAAGGAAAGAATGGGAAATGGACTTTCCGGATGAGAGGATGCATGGAAAGGGAATATATTTTCTTTCTGTGCATCGTCTCCTCTGTCGATTAAAGGTAGGCAACCCATATGTAATTGCATATGTCTATGGGCAACGGTCACTTCGCTATATCAGCGAATTCAGGTGGCCGCTCGCTCGTTTGCCGCCTTATGATATAAAAAAGAGGCATTGACCATTGCCCATTGTTGATAGAAAATCAGGGTTCACTTTAATGAAAATACGTCAGAGTGAAAATACCTGTGAACGGGGCGGGCGCAGGCAGATTAGGTTTGCGGTGCGGAGGCGCAGCGGGCAACAGCACGATGTCAGGGCTCTCCGCATAGCTACGCTGCTCAGAACGGGGGCGGAGCACCCGCTTGCCACTCGCACCCTACATACATGCAGAAAACAAAGGATGATATTTAAATACACAATACTTTACTAACACCATTTTCTAACTATTTGTTTAAAAGGTTGGTAAGATTTGTTTGATTAAGATATAATTAAAAACTTATTTTAAATATGGATTCAAAAGCTTTTCTAAACACGCTCTATATTAAAGTCATATGTGTTTAGATGCATTTTAATGTTTAGTTTTAATCGACTTCAATAGACTTTTTTAATTTACAACACCTTGTTTAAGAATCTCTTGACTGCATCTCTAAACTATGTACTATTAAAGGAAAATAGTCTAAATTCTCACATATATAAGACGAAAATTAATTAACATCATAAGTCAACATGATAATGGATAAACAATTTCGCATGACGTGTTCTTGTTTGTAATAATTCAAAGATAACAGACAAGCTGTGACCTAAATAACAAAGCCAAGATTAAATTATTTTAAACATTAGCAATATTTAAAATTATATTTTGTTTAAACTGCATTATAAACACTTTAAAGGAGGAAATATCTACATATTATTATAATAATAAGTAATAACATACACAAACATATTTTGATCCTAAGAAATAAAGTTCAACCTGGGTAATCGAGAAACTTCTACAAGCTAGAGTTTTGTACTACTATAGTGATAGAGCCTGCTTTTCATCTTCGCACAAATTGGCCGGTACACCCGGTGCAATACCATGACCACACAGAAACAAGCGTGAAGTGGAAGCAACTCCACGTTTTGTCTGATGAGTTTGGTACTGGAGGCCTATTTCAATCCTCTTTCACTTCCTACTCTTTTTCTTAAAGGGTAAGAATGGGCAGTGGAAGTGGATTTTCCAGATGAGGGGTGGCATGGGAAGGGAAAATATTCTCTTTCCGTCCTCCGTCGATTTTAGGTAGGCAACACATCTGCAATTGTCGAAGTCTACGGGTAGCGGTTGCTTTGCTGCTTCAACGATTTCAGGTTGCCATACAATCATTTGGCATTATAATATAAAAAAAGTCATTCTCTAAGATACCTTGGGTCAGAGAGAAAACTCTATAGAGAAAAATATTCAGTTCTCTTGTACTCCAGTTCCAGTTCTCGCTTTAGGTTAAATTGCGTACACATTATTGTAAAAATTGAGTACTAATATTGTTAGAACAGGAAAAGGATACTTACGGATACTTTTTCAATCTTCGGTTATGATTGGAAAAAACAAAATTGTACATTATAATTAACATGCATGTACTAATTTTTATAAATAGCTGTTTTTAATAATGTTATAAAACAATTTTATATTATCTCAGAATTACATAAGAATAAGAAATACATTGGAAACTTGATTAGGCAGACTAATTATTGCCACTAGGCATATAGATAATTTCATCTCTGAAGAATATCACTTTTTGTTCATATGTACATAATTTATATTAATGTGTTATCTGTTTATTAAAAACAACAAAACTTAATCAACAAAAACCAATGTTTAAGAAAGAGATACATTTTTCAACATATGTTATGCCAATTAAAACAATAATGAAAGCATGGCCCAATGATCATGCGGGCTTGGTAATGCCCATAGTGTGTTTGTACTGAATATTATTTTTTTACAAACTTACATGTGGTGGTGGCTGAGCTGGAGTTATAGTAAGTCCGCTTGCAGTCAGAGCTCGCAGTTCACTCAACTCCGGAGGCAAGGATCTGAAATAAGACATAGACATTGTGCTAACCAATTCTATTTCAAGAACAAAAACCATATGTTTTTAGTTTAGGGACCTATCGAAAGGAAAATATCCCGTGTTAAATGATAACTAAAGAGATATAACTCTTTATTGCATGTTTTCTTTAAACTTTGTGCTTTGTATTTTATAATTTTTTTAATATTTTTGTTTTAATACAACAGAAATCGATTCGTAAATACAATAGAAATATTTGGATGTTTTATGTGGAAACTATGTTTATGTGCTCTTTATAAAACATATACAAAAAGGAAAACAAGTATTATACATAGATAAAACCCTTTCAATAACATTACAAGATTACACAGCAATATACTATTTATAAAATAGACGATAAATAATAATAACTATAACATATGGTATTATATGTATTGTTACAAATAACTTATATATAAATCTAATTTAAATGATAACGAATTATTCTACTATTAAAAAGTGTTTATGTATTAACAATACATAACATATTACCTGACGCTAAGATCCACCGCGGAATCGTCAACGTCCATTGTGGCCCAATGTACATACAATTACGGGATCAAACTCACATCTAAAAATCAATAAGTAATTAATTTTGGATTATCTAAATATGTAACAATTCTTGAGTATATGAACATTAAGAATAATTGGTGTATGTTATTTTGCTTTATCAACTTTATCTATTTTGCAACAAGATACATTTTTTTGGGAATGTATGAATATTTTATGCGACTACGACCGGGTGACAGATAACTGACAATGGCCATCAATTGATTACAATTTCGAAATAGTGCAGTGAACATTATTGAATACATGAATGCACATGAATAATCAAATCTTATTTGTTACCTTTCTCTTATTTACCTGAAAATATCATCTATGCAATAATTAAATAATTATATTCTAATCTAATAAAATAATATAAAATGAAGCTCACGAAACACACATACACATCAAGATTAACAGATTATAAATAAAACAATCCTTGCAGATTATATCGCAATTTCTAGACAGCTATGAATTCAGGAAACGCAAGAAGTTGATTTTTAAACGGATGTTATAGAATGACTATTTCAGACAAATCACGATTTATCTTATGCGTATTATGATTTTAGGAAATTTGATTTAAATGTGATCGTGAGAAACTTTTGTGTGCCATTTAAAAGTATACTCTTTACAGTGGATTACTTTAACTATTTATTTCTATCTACTCTATGAATGTTAAAAATAAACAGATGTCAAAACTCAAAACACGACATGATTATTATAACCAATAAAAGTGCTCTTAAAAATACTCATATTTAACATCTGCTATAAATTCGATTAACTGGCTAAGAATAAGTGAGATACAAGTTTAGTTAAAATGCCTGGACCGGATTTGCTTTCGAGTCAAGGTTTGCGATTAGATGGTAGGCGACCAAATGAACTCCGTCGTATAAGGTGTAAACTTGGTGTATTTACACAACCAGATGGTAGTGCCTACTTAGAACAAGGGAATACTAAAGTTTTAGCGGCTGTATATGGTCCACATCAGGTAAAAGTAACAAGTAATAGGACCAACTTCTGTTATGGTATTTCACTTCACTTTGAATCTATCTTTTTCTATCATAACTCGTTATCCATATATGTTAAACTGTAGCAAAAATCTTCATTCTAATATAATATCATACCTATACTTTCATTTTGATCAATTTAATAATGTATTTCAGGCAAGCAAATCAAAAACATCAACAGAAGGTGTAGTTGTAAACTGTCAGTACAGCATGGCAACATTCTCTACAGGTAACATTAAAACAAACTTAAATTATATAAGATTTATCTTCAAGATAATCTTGCTCCTCACTTAGAATTATTATATTATTGTATATCTGTTCCCACTAATTCATTCAGTGCAATAGCACTGATTCACTACTGTATGAAAGTCATAGATGCTATATACATGTTAGTAGTTTTCTTTTTCCTCTCCTTTTTATCAATCATCATCTTAATTAAGACACACCCATGGCTATGTATCTTATATCCAATCCGAAATTATTCTTGTCACATGCAATTCACCCCTCATTTGTATACTTTCACAGGTGAACGAAAGAACCGCCCAAGAGGTGATAGGAAATCACAAGAAATGTCTCTGCATCTGCGACAATCATTCACAGCAGCGATCAAAACAGAACTATATCCACGTTCACAAATTGATATTTATATAGAAGTTTTACAGGTTTGATGTTTTTTTTACAGTTGAAAATATTCATACATAAACTGTCATCTTACTTGAGACATCCATCATGTCTCTACCACTGAGAATACAATATGTTTATGTATGGGTATTTCTAGAATTCTGCAATGAAAAACTGTACTCTTGAATGGGATGGTATCTCCATAATTACATACAGCTAGATATAGTAGCACTGAGCCAGCATGCTAGACTAAGGCCCGATAACCTCTAACTTGGGTAAGCTTGAATATTTCGATGGGCATGAGACATGCTGACAACGAAACATTGTTGATAATTTCAATAATTTTAAAAGCTGTTTAACATGCCTACCCCACATCTAAAGTTGTGTTCTGAACAACCACTTGTGCAATCTTTGGTGCCATGATGTTAGAAAATCTTATTGTAAGATGAAAGTTTTTCAGGCAGATGGTGGTGCATATTGTGCATCAGTAAACGCGGGTACACTCGCACTAATCGACGCGGGCATCCCCCTAAAAGCTTATGTCTGCGCCTGCACCGCCTCCATGGCTTGGCAGGGCAGTGAACCTGAGCCCTTAGTCGATGTTGGACATGTAGAGGAGGCGGCCGGTGGAGTCTGTCTTACTGTATCCAGTCTACCATCCACAGGTTAGTAGTATCATGGTTAATCTTGACAACCAATAGTTTATTGTTAGGATTAAGTCTAAAAGATATTGTAATTGTGCATTTGAATCCCAACATTTCAAGTATCATACATAAATTATTAATAGATTTAATAATTTCATTAAAAATATAATATACTATAGGTGAGCCCAGTTCTCATATATCTCTATATTCTATATGTCTATAGTATTTATGTTCTTGAAATACACAATATTGTTTATGGTTTTAGGCAATGTGGCATTACTGGAACTGTCACACAAGCTGCACATGGACTACTATGACATGGTGATGAGCAGAGCTATGCAGGGCTGCAGAGATATTGAGGTAAAAAATATGCTATTAGATACTCTTATGGAAGTGGCGGAAATAAAAGCTAGTTTCATGTCTTACGGACGAATATGTACTTTTATGATCCTTTGTAAAATTGTTAGATTTTGATAATTTGAGAAGTATATTAATTGTATATATTGTTGACAGTTTTTTTTTTTCAGGTAATTTTGGATCGTGCTGTAAGGGAACATTTAGCAGAAGGATGGACAAAGCAAGATACAATAACAATATAAATTATTAAGTTTATATTTTTGTTTTAATTTTGTAAACCTCCTTTGATTATACAATTTGTTTACTAATTTATTCGTAACAAAAAAAAGGTTTGGTTTCCACAAATATTTCGAGAGTTGAGGGAACCGAGGCTTAATTTTCTTACACATTCAAATTGCCAGTTGGTAAAAAAGTATAGATACCTTTGTTCAATCCAGTTAGTTTTCTAATACAACAGTTTTGCATCGGGTTTTGTTCTTAATTTAGTGAAGTTGTTAGACTTGTCAGTTGATAAAGCAGGTGTATGAAATAAAAAAAACATAAGTATAGACTTACATATTTATTAGAGATCTGAACAAAAAGAAATTAAATTATATGTACAGTCTATGTTAAAATTTAACTAAATTAGAGGTAAGTTAATAGGTACACACTGTTTTCGTTACATAGCTTAATGTATTGTAAGAAAACTTAACCTTTTAGAAAGTTTTTATCTATGGCAAAAGTAAATGACAAAAGCGCATTAGTAGAACAAATTATGCATAGGCATAGACAATATGCGAGAAATAGAGGAAATAAATAAAATGGAAAAACAACCGAACGTTAAATTCAGTCCATCCATACAAATGGATGCACACACTTAAAATAAAAAATATAAATATCTTTCAAATAAATAAAAGTTACTATATTGTACTTCTTTCGAATTTATAAAAAATAAATATTGCAAAGATTGCCTTTAAATTATGTTATTTAATGTAAAAAACATTGCAACGTTATAATCACAACTTTCATCACCCGTTAAATGGGCGAACCATACAACAAACCCACCCCATATTACTTTTCATTCATTTGGGAGTAAATGTTCATGATAAATTGAAACATTCCCTACTAGTTTTTATCCACCTTTATCAATATGATGAGAAAAAGTGTTGCCACTCACCTAAAATCTATAGAGCTTGCCGTAGTAAAAATGTATATGGTATTGCCACATAACAAAATAAATTTAGCCTTCTCGAAACAAAAATATTTTCAAATTAAATATTTGATTGCACATAACCATAATTGCACTATATTATTAAATATATTGGTAAAAGTACAAAATTCTATTTCTATTTTACCATTTTTATGGGTTTCTTATATAGTGTTACCAATAATAAATTATGTCAATAAGGATAAAAATCCGACAAAAAATATGTTAAATGATTTTCACACGATTAAATGCTTGTAATTCAATGCTCCATAGATTTAAGACCAAGTTTAGCTCCACTAGCAATCATTTGCATCCGTGGCATCGCCACATTCAAATCAATTCTTCACTCGACCCCACAAAAAAAGTTTACATATAAAAAGTTATATCTCATTATACTGAGTCGCTAAGGCACTCATCTAAAACTATCATCTATATATAAAGTTTTACGCGTAAGCACAATTAAACGATTTGGGAGGGGGGGATTAACAACAAAAAAAATATATATGTTTTGACTCGTTCAGATAATGCATGCAAAATAAAATATCATTCAATTCCAAACACTTAACCTAATGTTGTATAATACGAATAAATGTTTGTTACATTCGTATGGCGTAGTTTGCGATACTAAAGACATCTGGTAGAAAAGTGTAAATGGGGATTTAGGGGATGAGGGGAGGGGTTAGTTAGCCGCCACCGGCTCTGGGGCAGCTTCGATTTGACTAGTGTCCCCCGCGGACACATCTGAAATAATTCAATAATAATTTTAAAAAACCAGTGTCAATAGCAGCTAGCGGATAAATCTAAATAGACAAGAAGGTTAAAACATAAAAACTGTTTGGTTGAATATTATTTGATGCTTACCGTTACTGATCTTGGTAGGAGAGTTCTGTGGAGAACTTTTCTGTGAGTCACTGGTGCTTCCTTCTGCCTCGCCCGTTTCACCCGCCGACGATGTTGGCTGGATAAAAGACAAAATAGTAAGGATTCTGTGTAATGTATATGAAATATGAAAAAAAGATACTCTGGTTGTTCCTTAGTATCCATTAAACAATTCTAAGAGGTTTAAAAAAGAGAATATAAATAAATCGAGGACTTTATATGGTTATGTATTGGCACATACTCACTCTATTTCTATTGGATAATCTCGGCTTGAGTCCTTTCGGTTCTTTGGTGGGGTCAAAGTGACAGTCGAAGATTTCTATAAGCTCCTTTATATCCTCTTCTTTAGCCGATACAGACAACAAACCCAACTGTTTCTCTAAACCTAAGACAAAAAGTTTTACTTTGTCATGCAAATGGTTGATCGCCTCTGGAATATTGTTGCATACTCCTGCCAAAGTATTCTCTACTCCTGCCATAGTATTGAACACCCCTGTCGTACTGTTGAGTACTTCCATGCATATATTATTGATCACCCATTATATTTTTGAATATTCCTCCCATTTATTATTGAAGTACATCAACTAATATTATTGTACACCTCCTGGTGTGTATGTATAAGCACTACTTTTGTATTTTTGAACACCCCCTAGTGTATTATGAAGTAACCTTGACATGTATAATTAAGTACCCCTGGCATATAGTGATGTGTAACGTACCAGTGAGCTTGTGCTCCTCCCAGGCGTCGCGCAGCTGTTCGTAGAGGAAGCCCGCCTCGGCCAGTATACGCCGCAGCTGCGTCACGCGCTTGCGCTCGGGCCTCGCGGCGCGCAGCAGCGGCGCGAACACCGGACGGAACGTGTTCTGTCTGCAATAAATACGTAGTCAACAAAGATATCTAAATCGCCATGCAGTTGGTTCTGTCAAAAACGTTTTTATGTAGAAATACTTAGAAAATGACAAAAATTACATGCCAGCTACAGTACAAAGAGAATATCTATCCATTATGGATCTTGTAAAACTTTCTCAACAGCGACAGGGCTCGGGCATAAGCTGGCATAATTTAGTTTGACTTATGCCCACCCGTTCGTATAGCGCTGTTGGTCTGTACGCATAATGGATGTAGATGACATTTGGGATACATATAGAACATAGTCTGGAAGAACACATAGGCTACTAATTATGTTTTTTTTTTATTTCTGCACGGAAGGAGTCGTGGGACATCACTAGTAGATTATAAAGTGGAAAAACTGTTTTTTAGGGGAAAATTAATTAAAAAACTCTAAAAAAATGTTTGGAATATAGTAACTTAAGGTAGTACAAACCTTTCAAGCAAATTCTTGAGATTGTCTAAGGCGTCTAGTTCAGTCAGCACGGGTCTAGCCCATACCCTCGCGGTCTCCACCATATCTTTGCTGGCTGACGCTCCTTCGCCTCCCGCACCCACCTCTTGTTGTTCACCTACAGACAAAAGAAGATAGAAATTGAAACAATAAAACCAATAAATCTAAAATAAAGCTTATTTTCAATACTAAATCTAGGAGTTCAATATTATTTACACATTTATTTTTGTAAAATCCATATATTTCTAGTGATTTTCAATAGTTTGGTGTAGTAGACGATAATATTACAAACAAGTACTTCGACAATCGAAATCCAGTTATTTAAAGTGTATTCACCTTGAGCAAGATGTTCGACAATACGATAGGCAGCGGTTGCTCTATCCAATGCGCTGTCCACAGACAACGAGTCCGCGTCGAGCAGTACTCGCGCGAGTACTCGAAGCGACACAGACTTGACTGTCGTCTTGCACTTGTCCGCGGCCAGTGCGTAGCTGTCAGTGAAGCCAGCGACAATAGACTTGAATCGGTCCAGTAGCTTGTAACTGAAATTATTGACACTTATTGTCAGTATACATCTACATCAGTATATATCTAGTAAACATATAGTGCTTAACAATTCAATAAAACTAGTTCCCTTCATTAACATCTCCTTTTCATCCATTCTTTCTTTGGTCTTCCTCTACCTTTACATCCATCCACTTTCAATCTCATTACTTTCTTGTTGATATGATCATCTCTCCGCATAATGTCCATGCAATGCATTCCTTCTCAATTTCTCTTCTTCATCTTTCCTGATATATCACTTATTACATATTTGCTTGGTATTTTCATCAGAAATTAAGTAAATTTGTAAATGACTTTTAAGTAGTTTTTTTTCTTTTAATATAAATACTTATCATATTACATTCTTACCGTATGAGTGCTTCGAGTAACATAATGGGGCTGAGACGTCTTGGTTCATGGTAGATGAGAATCACTTTACTGTCCCCTTTTTCTTTCTCCAACCAGTCCAGGAAATCTGTTAGCGCTGATATTTCCGATTTTGTTTTTAATATCTATAACAATTTTACTTAATTATGCTTAACACTTACATTATAAGACACAACAGACAGGCAAGCAATCAATCAATCAATTCAAACCTAATGAGCAATAATTAGTGTCTTTAAGTTCTTCCAGACTATGTTCTATATGTACGCCAAATTTTGTCAAGATCTGTTCAGCCGAGATACCTTCAAACAAACATCCATCTATCTATCTAAATATTCGCATTTATAATATTAGTAAGAAGTATTATTGGATAAAAAGTGGTTAAATATTTACCTTATGAGTAATTGTATCTTTAAGCATCCTATACCGACCAACAGTGACCACTCTGATATTGTGGCGCCGGCGAGCACCAGGATTCAGATCTCCATACGGCATTATATATTGCGTGTATGTTTGCTTAGGCATGAACGCCGCTATCTGACATATCTGAAAATTTAATGTATATTTAAGGAAGATAAATGTAACAGTATTCCTCATTTGTCATTTGCCTGTCTACAAGCATCAAGTCAATATATTGATTAGCTAGCTGTTGCCCACAATTCCGTCCATGCGGAATTGTAAAAAACCTAATAAGTAGCCTATGACTATGTTCTATATGTGTTGAATTTCATCAAAATCTGGTGAGCTGCACTAGAGATACCATTAAACATTTATCTTGACATTGGCATTTATTATATAAGTAAGAAGTAAGATTTCTGCAGATTTTAAAACACTATAGCAGTCTTGAAACTGGTAATCTCTGGGTGCAATTCTGCATGCATTATTTGGCCTAGAATAATCTTACTGCCAATCTTTGCTTTATATAGAACTATCAAATACACTATATTGTACAAGTTTACTTAAGGTGGACTATGAAGTGTGCAATTATACTAACTTCATCAATAAGTCTCCGTCCAGTCGTATCCATGTCCCATCCAACAAGAGAGTACTTCCCCGGTGGCAAGCCGAGGGGTTTCTCTGCTAGCGCAGGCAGCAGGTCAGTTGCTGGGGCCTCCATGTCACCACCATTTACCTTTGCCTCTGACACCATTGCCATATGCTTGTTATTGCTTACTGTAACAAACAGATAATTTTATTTAACTTGTTCCATACTACAAATTTTACTTATAAATGCACTGGCCAGGTGAATTGGTAGTACTAAATGTATATATTTTATCATTAAAAAACCCTACTATCTGCTCCTGAGACAAAGGTGGAAATTAAAATGAAACTTTTCAAAAATCAAACTACAAAAGTTACAAAACATCATCTACATTCATAAGTAGAAACAAATTTTAATTTCTTGTGTTCTTATAAGAAAAATAGGGTAGTCACATCTTGAGCAATTTCTTTTGAATATACAGTACCTTATTTAAATCTACCCACAGCAAGCCCTTGGTTTTAAACTTTAAATATTTTAGGGCTTGTTCATACAAGGCAGGCAATTTGGTTTGAGTAAATAACAATATTTCCATTGACTTTATATGATTTTTGTTAATTAACCAATAAATATTAAATCTTAAGGAAACGTTTAAGGGTGGTACAGAAATTCTTGAAATGTTTACTTGATAAATAATAACATATATTTTATTTTTGCATTATTAATTTAGGTTACATACAAGTGTGTGTATTGTGATATCTACATTTTATAGATTAGATATTATTTAACGCCGGGTTTAATTACCTTGGTTAGTAATAAATATGTAATAAATTCTACTTGATTTACCTACTTTTAATGTTTTCAAAACTTTTAGACGAATGTTTTCGTTGTATGTTTAAGATACCGGCAAGAATTTGGAGCAAAAGTATAACTTTTATAATACTTTGGTAGATTGTTTTAAATTTCTAGATAATATATGAGTCATAGTAGGATAACATAAAATAGGAATACCAAAATTATCGATTTCTTGACGATGAAAGACTGAAGGAAGGCAGATTATACGTGGAACAAAAAGATGTATTGATTAAACATTTTGCAAAATGAATATATCGAAAATAACAGCATATTAATAAAGTTACAGGAAAATAAAAAATAGGACACGTGGCGGTCTTTTTCTAGGCATTTGCCCCACCCCACCATGTCAAAATAAAATAAAGATGAACTCACTAATCAAAAATGCTGCCGTTGATCTGATGTTATTAAACAGTAATTAGTAATCCTCAACAAACAATGCTTAAAGACGCTCTACAAGTTTAGTAAAGTGGAATAATTGAGTAAAAAATATCACAAAATCTCAGCACGTGTGCGGCAATCGGCAAAACGCAGTAGTGATTGGATAGTATGGTGCAGTAATATGTTACCGGTAATTATATCGTAAACACTATGCGACAATTTTTCAATCAACTTAGTGCATTTTAAAAAGGTACTAAAAATTTTACAATTTTTAGAAACAAATTAAAATAATTTTGGAAGATATGTTAAAGTAAAAATTTTCAATTTGATATTTATTTGACAACTTTAATTTGAACGTATCTATTGAAATATGTCAAAATAGTAATTGTTCCAGTAACAATTCAAAATTGAAATAATTTGTAAATGCGATTGGGTAGCATTTCTTTTATTTAATCGCGTTATATGATGAAAATCAATATTGTTACTGTAATTTAGTAGTGTATGTAAAATAATACTTACGAATAAATTGATACTTTCCGCAGTTGTAAGCAATACGCTACTAGTCAACAACTTTAAATAAAGATGCAAAAAATAATTAAGAATTGATATTTCAATTTATAGTACAAGCTGCAACAATGCGAATGACTTTGACAAAAGGAACAAAATTCCTTTTTTGAATTTCAAGACATTTATAAGAGAAGATGTAACAATTCTTCTTTTTGATCTAAGAAAAACTTTTTATTTATTATAATGCGCACGGGAGATTAAAGTAACAAAAGCGAAGAGGCAACCGCTGGAAATTAAATAATATTCTACTGATATTAGCTGTTTATTTAAGATCTTGTACTGAGACCTACTTGTGAACCATATCATTATTTTGTCTTCTTTTAGTGATAGGTACTTGATATGCTTTTTTATCTGTTCTGGATATAAAAATGTCTCTATGGTGTATGTCAATGTCTCATTCTGTCAATTTGTGATCTGTGTCACTGTCACTTATTTCTATAATGATCTGTGTCTGTGGTTATTGTCTTGTTTACAAAAGTATTATAATTCTTATTTGATTCAATTTTTTGTCTTAATTTAGTTAAGATTAAACTCTAATTATGGCGGAGAATTTAGAATATTACCGGACACAAATAGTTGCAGCTAGAACCGAAATAAAAAACTTAAGGTCTGCCCATCAACACATACATATTATTTAATTATTCAAACTTTCGTGAGACATTATAATAAACTTATACAAAAACGGCTAAAACTATATTTAGTTGTTAAGCTTACTTTTTACAACAATATGTAATCTGAACTTTCCAGGCAGCGGCTGAGTGCGTTGAAACACGAGCATATTAAAGAAATCAAGAATATCAAAGAAACTCTCAATGGACTTCGTTGCACTAAATGTGCTACAACAGGTGACAAAAAACTAATTAATCTTTGTTATGTCTCTATTATTCTACGTTAATTTCTAATCAAAATTCAAAACTAAAACAACGAAAACTACACCATTTCGCCCATCGCCAAGCCGGGTAGTCAACCAGCAAAATCTAAACCATGTCATGTGACTTAACAATTATTATTATATTTAAATTAAATCTGTTTATTTCAGCCACAACAATAGTCAACAATCACAGTGAAGGCCAACCATCAACATCAGACTGTATCAATACCATACCATTCACTCCTATTGGCTATATTGAAACACCATTTGAAAATAAGCGTGCTGTACCAAGACAGCCATCGGTATTGTCCAATGCAAAAGGTGTGATTAACATTGATACAAATGTTTTTACCAATCCGGAGCATGCTATCAGTGGTTTGGAGGAATTTTCTCATATATGGTAAGATATATTTTTTATAAATTACTTGCTGTCATTTAGGTAGCTTAGATTCAACATCTTATAGATTGTACATCTAAATATACACTTTTAAAATATTACTATGATATTATAGAGGGCGTTGATTCTAACACACCAATGGTGTTTTTGCTCACAATTTTCATCAGTAGATGGCGCTCACAACTGTTTGAATTTACTAAGTCACGCTATTGAGATGATTTCAAAGCTATTGACCCGCGCGGGCCGATTTTGTGAACTCATACTTACCTGGCGTAGGGGTTACCGTGATCACGAAGGCGGTTCCCCCAGGGCGAGGCCCCTCCATTGCACTGCGGTTGGGTTGACCCCTGCGATTATCCCTAATGCGGATAACTCGGACGCGTAATTTTTGGTAGTGGGGACTGCGTACGCGCCGTCCCCCCCATAATGGTTGTTAAAATTGCTTAGATATTTAGAATGTCGGAACTAGTGTTATATTTCTTAATACTAACTTGTTTGTTATAAGCTTCTTATTGATGCTTCATTATTAAAATTTCCAGTAAATTTGATCCAAATTATTTTTATTACTAATCTACTACTAATACCAAACATCCTATATTGTATAGTAATGTTCAATTTTCCAGGATAATATTCCATTTCCATGAGACAGGCAGTACAAATGTACCAGCTAAGGTTGCTCCGCCCCGACTGGGTGGCGAAAGGCGCGGAGTGTTGTCCACGAGGTCACCACATCGGCCCTGCCCTATTGGCTTATCTCTTGTCAAAATATCTAATATTGAAGGTAATTTTTAAGCCATATAGGAATATATATTTAATTTCTTACCATGTCACATTTCATGTATGATCTAAATACTTAAACGAAGAAAGCTTACCTTGTGCACTTGCAATTGGATTCTAAAATCAAGTTAAATAAGCATTTTTTTTTTATATCATAAGGTGGCAAACGAGCGATCGGCCACCTGAAATAGCTGATATAGCGAAGTGACCGTTGCCCATAGACATACGCAATTGCATATGCGTTGCCTACCTTTAATCGACGGAGGAGAGGATGCACATAAAGAAAATATATTCCCTTTCCATGCATACTCTCATCCGGAAAGTCCACTTCCACTTCCCACCCTTTCCTTAGATAATGTAAGAAAAAGGGTGGGAAGGGAAAGAGGACGGAATAAGGCCTCCGGGACGCACACTCATCAGACGAAACGCGGAATTGCTTCCACTTCGCGCCTGTCTTCTGTGTGGTCGTGGTATTTCACTGGTCATTAGTCGTAGAGTTGCTGATACCATAGCACTTATTACTACTAAAGTTAAATGTTTAAAGTTTCTTAAGGGTTTCCTCATAATATGTTTGTTTAAAAATATCATAATTTAAGAAAGTACCTATGAATTTATTCTTATGATAACCGAAGAGAAGTATTTTATTTTTAATTAAATTCCAGGTAACAAGATACACTTTGAAGGTATTGATATGGTGAATGGTACGCCAGTGCTTGATATTAAACCGTACATACCTCAGTATGACTGCCCCACGCAACATAATATACAACTACCCTACAATCAAGTAACAGAACGACCGGCGACAGAGGGCGTTAGTGATTCAGTTGATAATTCAGCTACAATACAATCTGTGGAAGAAAACTTTGATCATATGAGGTAAGTGGATATAAGGATTTGCATTAAAGTCTGTATATACAATTTTTATTATAACTTTATTTTTGTTATTTATTAGAGTATAAAAATATTATAAATATAAACATTCCATTTTTAAACACGATTTATTTTTACTTTTAAAATACAAATATTTATTTATAATTAAATATATTTTTTAATACTAAAACATCGAAAAATAATATTCAATTTAAAACAATGAAGTACAAAAATAATACAGTGATATAAATCTCACATATAGGTTTTATCAGTTATTCTTTTTAAATCTAAATTAACTGGCCACTAATACTCTAACATAGTAGTTTTTTAAATAACTTATTCCAATCTTGACTGTGAATCTGTATAAATATGGCAACACAAATTATATTCTAATTAGAAGTTAGATCATAGAGCTAAAATATTATTGCTGCAACTTTATTTACTTTTTTTTCCAGTTTAAATTCACATCTATCAAATCCACTTGGCATAGACGCAGAAAGTAATGAACATTCTCCTTACGATGATGAATTGTCTCCGGACAGCAATCTTATAGCAACCATGTCACCATCCCCGGATTCACAATCAAGTGATATGTTAGATGGAAACTTCCAGAAGTCACCGTTAAGAAGACCAGATGAAAGAGGTGCTCCGGATGGTCAAGAAAGATTTACACCACCTCAATATGGTGTAAGAGTTGCCTCTTGGATTTCTAACCCGACAACACAGACATATGAAGTTAAGTTCACTGATGATGCACTGGATAGACTTAATGATTTGATCGGTGAACGGGCACAGTCTTTTAAGAGCAATATTGAATGTCTTCTATCAGAAGACCCAAGGTCTCTCTATGTAAGAAGTAGATATCCAGATCATGAATATAGCTGTGTGTTAGAAGATTTATCTATAAGTTGTATATTTGATTCATTGTCAACTACATGTACCATAATAGCGGTGAGAAGTGCTGATGATATGCAACAGACTTAACTGTTTTTGTGTTGTGTGTGTATCATTATTTATTGACTTGATAATGTGTTCCCGCTGCTTGTTTGCCCCATTCTGTTATTTAAAAAAATGTGTAATTACTTATTATAATTTTTAATTTTTTTTATTGTAGTTTTAATTTACTATTCAATTCCAATGAATCTAAGAAATTTAAAGTGAGACTAAATAGTTAAACCTATAAAATAATATGACTTTTGTGTATGGAATCTCGGAAAGAACATATTTTCTTAAAGTATTATATTCCTTCGTATTTCTTATTGCATTTCTTTATATCTTTTTATAGAATCGTATTTGTTTTCCAGATCCAAAACCTCCAACACTGTCTAGTATAATAAGTTCGAAATGTCTTAGTTTGATTCCTTGTAAGTCAATAGTTTTTATGGATGCGTTACGTTCCAATATTATGGGTCTGGTTAATGTACTCCAATTTTCACCATCAACCGAATATTTGTATTGAATCTTTAAAAACGTTCCGTTTCCCGCATCATCGCGAGGTGTGTATTCAAATTTTTCTAAATGATATACATTTCCTAAATCAAAGGTTAATTTTAAATCCCCTTTTAAATTACATTTCTGTATAGGTTTGTGCCAATGTGTGTGCCATAATGATGTCAAAGCACCATCAGTTAAATTGCATATTTCCTGACAAGGCTGACAAGGAATGTTACATTTTACTTTAACACCTTTGATAACGTTTTTATATGGATCATCCAACGTTTTCACTTTAATAAATTCACTCCATTCTGATACGCCATATTCGTTTGCGACACGAATTCTGAATAAATATTCCGTATTATATTTTAAATCTTGGAATGTGAATTTTGTTTGTTTTATGTTACTATAAATAATTCCATCTTTTTCGATTTCATAATATACTTTATCAATTCCTGACCATTGCAAAGTTATAATAGTGGGTGTTACTTCGTCCGCCACTTCGAAATAATTAGGTGTTGCCAAATCATTATTTACGTTTAAATTTTCACCCAATACTTTTGTAACATTAGCATAATCTTTTACTTTTATTTGTATGTGATTGGACGTTACATCTAAATTGCCGATTTTTATTAACAAAACTGCTTGTGGTATGTTATTAAATTGAGCTAAATAAGGATTGATTTCGAAATCTTCTTTAAAGAAAAATGCGTTAACGGATTTTTCGAATTCATCAAAGCTTGGTGCTTTTGATATTTGTAGGGATTGACCATTGATTGCTGCTTTAACATGTTCAACGTCCTGTGAAGCCATTATTTGAAGTAATGTCGTTCTTTCTTTTATCATACTCTCATAACTACCCTTTGTCTTTTCTATACTTATTAGAAGATCCCCTTGTTTGTTTGACGCCGGTGCATTGACTGTAATTTCAGTAGTAGCAAACTGACCCTTCAAATAATCACTTGTTATACCATCATCTTCATAAACATTGAAGTTTGAGTCTTTATTTGGATATACAGTGAAAATTCTCGTACTTCTATCTATTTCATTAGGATTATTATTTGGCTTTGTCATTGGTATTATAGCTCCGTCTTTTATAAAAACAGGAATTTTCCATAGAGGTATATCTAAATTGTTAATGAATTTACCACCTTGTATCTTTTCGCCAGTAAAGAAATCTATCCAGACTTGATTTTTATCAGGTAGATAAACACCATCACGATTATAACCCTCTTCATAAATTGGAGCAACTAGTATATGAGGTCCCCACATAAACTGATATTGACAATCTTTGGTGTAAGCAATTCTTTCATTTGGAAATTCCAGGAACATAGCTCTTATCATTGGAAGGCCTCTAATGGATTCCTGGCCTATCGTGTAGTTGTAAGGTAGAAACATAGATTTTAGTTTTAAATATGCTCTGTTTATACTGATAGCTTCATCGTCGAAGCTAAAAGGAGTCTTTGGAATACGTCCCCATCCGTCCATGTTTAGTTGCAATGGTGTAAAAGTTTTCCACTGATAGTCGCGTATATTCACCTCTCGTTCTTTACCACCATATATCCCATCCATATCGGATCCAATTAAAGGTTGACCTGAGAGTCCAGATCCGATATAAGTCGGTATATGGAAGCGTATGTATTCCCATTGACCGCCTGTTTGATCACCACTCCAAATACCAGAATAGCGTTGTGTACCAGCCCATCCGTCTACCATTATAATCATCGGTCTTACGTTGGTTTTTGAAATAAATATCTTTGTAACATCATCAACTGCGTTTAATCCGAAAGAGTATCCATATCCAATCCAAGCTACGTCGCATTTCAATGCAACCACTTTCGCCACACTTAGTTCTTTACCCAAATCCCTTTCCCCTTTTTTTGGATGTAAAGGATCCGCGGGATGTAAGTTAGATTCAGTCCACAGAGCCACTTCCACGCCTTTCTCTCTAGCATAATCTGCAAACTTTTTTAAATTCTCAATATCACCGTCCAATGAATCTGTTTGTCCGTACCCTGATCCGTAACCATCATTTGGTATAAACCAACCTAAAGGCATATCATGTCTTCTATAACGATCAATCATTGCGCGTGCTGAAAATTGATAATTATCCTTTTCTCCATTCAATGATTCCAGTATCCCTTTTTTATCTCCCATTTCATTCGGTTTATAACTTTTGTAGTAATTTCCATCTTCGAATAATATTGCGCCGGGCGTTTCTGGTGTTGTTTTTACCCAATAATCTCTGTTGAAAGCGTTCAAATGCGCTTCATAAAATGCATATTCGGGCATAAAGATCGGTTGACCTGTTAATTCGTAATAATCACTAAGTATATCACATGGTTCGGAGTTAATAAAGTAAAATGCATCAAAATGATCAGTTTTGTGGGTAGTTGTCACAAAATCAGAAGATTCGGATCCAAAATCGTAGACACCCGGTTGCCAAGTATGTCTAAGTACGCCATATCCGTATGATGACCAGTAAAATGGACAAGGGGAAGTAACTCCTCCATCTACCCAGTTATTTGTATTAACTATGTGTATTATGTTTCCTTTGTGCGTAAATCGTCCATTTTGCATGCCACCACCAAAGAAATATTCTTCCTTCTTTTGACATAGTTTCTGTACTGTAATATCGTCATCATAAGACAAAGGACTAGATTCCTTCACAGCCACTTTGTTAGTCCTTTTATCGTACACACTCATTGTTCCATTTATCTTATCAAATTGTATTTGAACTTTATTTAATTCGATTTCATAATATTTATCAACGTCTTTCAAAGAAGATTTCGTAAATGAATCTTTGTCGTAATCGGCTATGTCTTTAATTGTGATTTTCGCAATATCATCAGAATTGTTTGGTATTGGATAGTCAATAAATTCTCCATTAGGTGACATGTAATACCTGAAAACATGACTATTTATAACGTAAACTTTTGCTGTTTCGCCTGTTTTGTATTTGATTAGATAATCTTCCTCTCTTTTTGTTATATTTTCGATACCGCCAACGATTTTCATATTGACGTTTTCTATTTTAAATCAAAGTAGAATAAATGCCCCAATAATAACCTGGAACAATTATAAAATCGTGTAAATTAAACCAGTAATACAAAGTTTTAAACATGAATATACATTTAAATACAGCTGTTAACGCTATGACTTATCAGACAAAGATAGTCCTTGGTCCATAAGTGAACACTTGTGTTTATCTTTGACTAATTTGTGTTAATGACCACAAATATATTGTAAAGTTACATATTTGGCTCAAATGATATTGTCGCTAAGTAATAACCATATGTTCATACTCATAGTAGGTTTTAGAAAATAATTGAATATAAATATTTTAATAATTATTCTGAATTATTTGCCATAGCTATTAAGTTTTTAACTCGAAAAAGCACGATTGGTTGTTTCAGATAATGTCCGTATTATATTTATAAATCGAATACACCCAAATGCAGGTAAATAATTACATAGGTATGTACTAAATTGAAGGCTTATTTAAAGTAATAAAAATAAATGTTTTTAAAAGAATAATAACTGTAAGATTTATTCATGATTTGTGTTTGTAAAAAATATTTAAAATTGTAAATACTATAGACTTTCTTTTATTTGCAAAAGTGTACGAAAAGGGGCGTAATTTTAATGCCAACTTAGTTCGTAACTATGATTGTTAATCATAATTTCTAAGTTAAAGTGTACATTAGTTGAATTATGGAAATCTAGGTGTAAAATGGAATTTAATTTAAAAAAGTATATTTTGTTTACAATACACGTACACTTCAAAATATAAATAAACAAAGTACATACCAATACCACTCTCTTAACCTTTTCTGTCACTGATTTGATTTTATGCTGTTGGAGACAACTAGGCATGTAACATGTAACGGTAAATCCTATAGAGTAAAGCCAGTACAATCGCGACCTGATAACTGCGATCGTAATCGAGAAAACAATAATGTAATGCGAGTCACTGCCGACCAATTATTTGAATACCTAAACGATTTTTGCTGGTCAAAATAATCATTTTCCGTAGAATCGACAAAGTGCAAATGCCTGTAGGAAAGAAGAGTTCTTTTTCCCGCGCAAACATAGTTGAGATTGCGCGGGAAATCTGAAACCGATCAAGTTTTTTAGTGTTGTTCCACAAATCTTGCCGTTATACAACTTAGTATTATTTATCTTGAAATATATAATACGTACCTATATTAATTTATACACAGAATTTACGGTTTTCACAAAGAAATAGATAAAATTTATAAGAATAATAGTTTTATTTTTGAAAGATGATCTTCTTAAAACTAAAAAAAAAAGAATCTGTCATGACTTACTTTTCAATTTGATAACAGTGAACGGTGAATGAAATATTTAATCAGGATAAATAGATTTGAGCTGTTTATATAAGCCTTCCCAGAGTCAGCGTTCTTGTACACATGTGATATACGAAGCTGCAATTACATGGAAAAATACGAAACAGTAACTAATATATCCACACCGTAATCCGGGGTCTCATTTTAAAACAATTAAGATTACAAAATATTTACTGATATCTTTGTAATAACAAGGTTTGGACTAAGATAAGTTACCTGGCTTACACCCAAATCAACGTTTTAAATACTATTTAATTGATTTTTCTATTTAATATTTTTTGGAGATAAACTGGGAAAACTACTTTTTATCTGCTTTTTACCCTGTGGTAAGGAATGCCTGCAAAACTGATTTGCATTTTTGTAGTCTATGGAATTGTTTCATGATCTGTCGTTTTTGTTGGAGTTTCTTTCAATTTTGATTACTCACTTCGCCTTTTCGTGTTTTATTAAGAATTATTTAAAACTAAAATAAATTTAAATTACTAAACAGTAAGTTATTCCATCATCTAAACCTAAAGGTTAACTACTTGTTTGTACAGTATACAATTTGCAAAACACCTTGGTTAACCTGACCCTACCGGCAACGACTAAATTGTTGTTTTTTTGTAGATGTTCCTGACTCGTTCGGAATATGACCGTGGTGTCAACACATTCAGTCCTGAAGGTAGACTTTTCCAAGTGGAATATGCTATTGAAGCAATCAAACTTGGCTCCACGGCGATTGGAATTTGTACGTCGGAAGGCGTAGTGTTGGCTGTCGAAAAAAGAATTACTTCACCTCTTATGGAGCCGACTACCATAGAAAAGATCGTAGAAGTAGATCGCCATATCGCGTGCGCTGTGTCTGGATTGATGGCGGATTCGAGGTAAAACTTAAATTCCAGTACAAATAATTAATTCAACTTAAACTCCGAAAACGCACTTGTCATTGTTACATGGTCACCCTCAGTGAATGCACTAAGGGACATACCCGCAACCTTGAAGGGAAGTTAGAGATTACAATATTGATGTTATCCCTGCATCTCTTGTTTGTTACAATTCATAAATATGTCAGGTTATTGCCCTTTATTATTATCAATATCCATCAGTATAGTAAAATGTAAACCTATTTATGTATACAAAATTTCCTGTTTTCCAGGACTCTTGTTGAGCGTGCCCGTGTAGAATGTCAGAACCACTGGTTTGTGTACAATGAGCGCATGAGTGTGGAGTCTTGTGCTCAGGCTGTGTCTAACCTGGCCATACAGTTTGGTGATAGTGATGATGATAGCGGCACCGCTATGTCCAGACCATTTGGTGTTGCTGTTATGTTTGCAGGTATATTAAAATTTATAAAATATTAACTGTTATCCATATCAATTGAAAAATAATATATTAGCTTATGCATTGTTTTTAAGTGTAAATCTGTATTCAAAATTTCATCCATTCTGGAGATATGTGGTAATAAATATCCATACGAATATCAAAACTTTCATATTTAAGGTATTAGTAAGATGGGCACCTCTGATCACCTAATGAGTTTTAATACAAAAAGAGTCTGAACATATTGTGTGTTATTCAAATATACTTAACACATCCAGTGCTGCCTACTTGCCTAATGAATCGAGTGAAATATATGCAACATAAGGGAAAACATTGTAAAAATAGTTTTTTTAAACAAAGACAAAAAGAATAAACTCAAATCATAAATTGATAGTTTTAATTTTGAACAACAAACATTTTAATTTCTAATATGTTTAATTTTTTTTCTTAGGTATTGATGAAAAAGGACCTCAGCTGTTCCACATGGACCCTAGTGGTACATTTGTGCAATATGATGCTAAAGCTATAGGCTCCGGAAGTGAAGGGGCACAGCAGAGCTTAAAGGTATTGAAACTGGATGGATAGGTTGTTGC